CCGGAAATAGGTAGAGTTAGGCTTCATTCCCATAAAGCCATACCTTTCACTTCAATTTTGGGTTGGAATCAATAGACCGATTAAAAAAGTAAAGAGAAGGAAAGTGGCACGGGTCTATATCTCTCGTTGTCTTCTTTCTCATTGTTGTTGATGGCAATAAAGGTCCAATTTCCATACCTACCTCTTCTTTGTATTATAGTTAATCAGTAAACAACCTCTCATTGACCATAAAATTCATGTACCAAAGGAACCTAATTCATACACCAACCTAAGCATTTTGTATATTTTTTTGGGGGGTTGAAATATGTTTTATTGATAACTAATTTGTGTTTTAGATTATTCTAAGCCAAATTGAGCCTCTTACGGAGCAACAAATACTTGGGATATGTGGGTTGCAACAATCAACCCAAGAGGCAGAAGAAGCTCTTTCTCAAGGGCTTGAAGCACTCGATCAATCACTCTTAGACACTATAACATCAGATTCATTGAGTTTTCCTCCAAATATGGCTAACTACATGCATGGGACAAATGGCGGTGGCCATGAACAAGCTCTCTACCTTTGAAGGTTTTGTGAGACAGGTACGTTATACGCTTTGACTAAACTTATTCTTCTCTTAACCTTTAAATAAGTGCATATAAATTTTCCATACAAAAATAAAATAAAATTAATGTCAATCAATGCATGTTGAATTTTGTGGTGGTGATTTAATTTGGATAAGAGGTTGTGATATATCGTAAGATTTTCGTTAACTAGAAATATATGAACTAGGACAGGTTGTATGACTCAATAATATTAATTATTAGTTATATAATAGTGCAGGTATTCAATTTCCTGTAGCCATTCATTTAACAATTGGCTACCTCTATAATGATTGAGAACCAAATAGTTTGGACAAGCTTCTTTTTTAGGCTGAGCTCATGTAGGAAGTGGGGCACATTTAAATATCTTTCTAGTTCACATGACAAAGAAATTACAAGGACTTTGGATGAAATAGATCCAAACCAATACCACGCATTTTTTGGCTCTTCATGACAAGCCGTGTACAATTGTAAATTTGTGAGTCTCCTTCATATATTATAGACTTACATAGTGCACAGATAAACTTGCCAGCTTAACCCAAGTAGCTTTCTCACCCTCCAACTCATCCCAACCAAGAAAACAACCTCAATGACTTCGGAATTGCTTTAACATTTGAATATTTCAATATATTCATACATTTATGTTACTTTCATCCAAAATAGAATATTTAAGGATTCGTTATGATGTGGTTTTATTATTCAGGCATTTCCCCCACCGTGGACAGTTCCAGATTGGAAGATGATGCTCTTGATAAAGAACATAGTCAGAGACGGAGAAAAAGGCCAAGGAGGGTTCAAGTTAAGGAAAGTCTTGACCAAGGAGGCTTCTGATCCTAAGTCTGGAAAACTTATCACTCTTAGGTTTGAGTACTTGGTGAAGTTGAATATTGTATGTGTTGGAATAGAAGGACTGTGTACAAAAAACATTGAGCGGTTATTGTTTCATTGAATTATGAAGTCAGTTTCGTATTGTGTATTGATATGTTAAATTTTATTTGTTAATTTTTAAGGTTACAATATATACTTATTGTACATCGTTAGCTAATTGTATAAGATTTTTTAATACTTGCCTAATACATGATATGGACTGTTGTGCATTTAATGTATTGATTAATGAGATTTATTTTGATTAAATTTTTTTATCAGGTGCAATACAGAAAATTGGTATTGGTTATGTAGAGTGTAATTTTTTTTTAAAAAAAATCTAATACTTTTTGACGGAATTTATTTTCTGTCGAAAATCATTACAACAATTTTCGACGGAATTCCAATGATTTTTCGTCGAAAATTTTCGGCGGATTAATTTTTCGTCGAAAACCATTACGACAATTTTCGACAGAATTCTATTGATTTTCTGTCGAAATTTTTTGACGGAATCCGTTTTCCGTCGAAAACTATTACAACAATTTTCGACGAAATTCCATTGATTTTTCGTCGAAAATTTTCGACAGAATTCGTTTTCCGTCGAAAACCATTACAACAATTTTCGACGGAATTCCATTGATTTTTCGTCGAATTTTTTGACAGAATTCGTTTTTCGTCGAAAATCATTACAATAATTTTCGACGGAATTCTATTGATTTTCCGTCGAAAATTTTCATCGGAATCATTTTTCCGTCGAAAACCAATACAACAAATTTTGACGGAATTCCATTGTTTTTTCGTTGAAAATTTTCGTCGAAAATCTTTGACGGAACTTTTAATTCCGTCGAAAAATGTTATCAACGAAGAGAAATTCGACGACTTGAATTCCGTCGAAAAATCCATTTTCGACGGAATTTTCCCCATTTTCGACGAAAAAATTCCGTCGAAGAAATTAACTTTTCTAGTAGTGTTTTCTCATTTTGTTGGAGACATTTTGTCTTATGTCATAGAGATAAACATGTGAGACCCACCTTTTATAACGAAAATAAAATAAAAACTAAAGCTAAAGGGATCCACATATTTATCTCTATGACAGAGACAAGATGTCTCCAACAACATTAGATTAATAAATCCCATAAACTATAACATTAATATTGATAAGTTTCGTTGAAATATAAAATTCACATATAAATTATATGTGAGTTTATTTGTTTTTTCCTTTGAAATAGCTAGTTGCATTAAATTAATAGTTAGCAAAATAAAAAGAATGCATATTCATTATAGTTAAGTTTGAATTACTGTTAGTTTAACAAATTTTAATATATTAGAATCTAATTTTATCTAATTAAAAAAGAGGAAGGTTATACTTACAATCTATTTTTGTTTACAACCTTTTACAACCATAATCTTAACAGTTGATTTCTGTCAATCAAATGTTATTATTTATTGAGAATTAATAATTAATTAATTAATTTAATTTACGAAAATAATAACCGTTGATGGACAGAAATCAACGGTTAAGATTATGGTTGTAAAAGATTGCAAATAAAAATAGGTTGTAAGTATAACCTTCCTTTTATATATATATATATATATATATATATATATATATATATATATATATATATATATATATATAATGTATATAAAAGAAAAATCTTAAATAAATTTTTAAAGCCACATGACTCTAGACATTTTTTATTTTAAATTTCTAGATGAGTTTTGGAAATTTAATTTAGTCCATGACAATGGCAGCTAAAATGCGAAAGGCAGTTGGAGTCAGCATACAAACAGCAATAAATACAAGTACCGTTCTCTACGAGCGTCGTGTTCCACGCAACAGGAATTTGGAATTGCGTAGCTCGAACAAACTCTTCAATATATTTGTGCTCCGTCACAATATGTCTTTGAATGTATTTCGAATATATATATGGAAATATATATATGGAAAAAAAGTGTGTAATTTTAAATGACACGCCTTATATTTTTTCACTCTCGTAAGGAGGTGGGATCTACACATTTAATTTTTTTTTTACCCATTCTCTCTATCATGATTTATCTCTTTCTCTCACTTAAAATGACACAACTTTATGTCCTTCAAAATGATACATACTTTTCCATATATATATATATATGTGTGTGTGGATAAATATTTCTACAGTCACTTTAGATAAGATTATCTACCGCTACCATTCATAACTATACTCTCGCGGGAGAACATAGTTATAACTTTAAAGTTACTTTTTTTTTTTCTCTCCTGAGTTACTTTTCAGAACTTGTTTGCTGATGTGGAGAAAGAGAAAAAAAACAACTTTAATGTTATAACTATGTTCTTCCGGGAGAACATAGTTATAAATGGTAGCTGTAGATAACATTATCTAAAGTGGCTGTAGAAATATTTTTTTACATATATATATATATATATATATATATATATATATATATATGTATATATAGATATATATAATCATTTCAGCAGCCGCTTTACGTACAACAACGAAAGGTGTATGGTTATAATTCCCTACATTTAATGCTTTCATCCTTTGTATGGTTATATTCCATGTATTTAATGCTTTCAAGTATATATATGGCAAGTATTTGATTGCTGCACGTATAGTAGCTGCAGAAATGTAAACCCAATATATATATATATATATATATGAGAGGAATTTTTTGCTCCGATATTAAAATAAAGGTTTACTCCTCGTCTCGTTAATATCCATCTATCTAACAGATATAATTTATTAAAAATTATTAATTAATTAATAAGTATAATTCAATAAATTACGAACATAGATCAATATATTTTGGATGAAAAGTAAGATTTTTTATTCTTGTGTCGTAATCAAAATGGGCAGGATCTTCTTACACTTATGTAACATTAATAAATCTTATACTCAATTTTAATAATTGATTTTTCATATATCTGATGGTTATAATTTATTCAGAATTAATAATTAATTAATAACGTAAGTTGATCTTATCCTTTATATTTATATATATATATATATATATATATATATATATATATTCAAAGACAAACCGTGACGGAGCACACCAAGCCCCTACTAAGCTAAGCACCTTATTGACCTCTCCAGAAACAAGAATAGCCACCATGCACCCCTCGGTTACATCGTTTAGTATCTATCAATCACTTTTGGAAATCCCCGAGCCACCATTGTCATCATTCACATAGTCATTTATTTTGGAGTTGAATCCAATCTATAAACAAATATTTTAATAAATGTGCATACGATGGAGTTAAATCCAATCTATAAGCAAACATATTAACAAATGTGCACACGTTGGAGTTAAATTCAATTTATAATCGAATATATTAATAAATGTATATTTAAGTTATTAAACCAAACTCAAAATTGTCTCACACAACGTCACTTTCTATACAATTCATCAATACGTGTGTGTGTGTATAAATAGAGAACAACTTCACACACAAACATGCAACCTTTTGTACTTGTTCTTGGCTCATAGAGAGAGAGAGAGAGAGAGAGAGAGAGAGAGAGAGAGAGAGATATTGCAACTTACAAGTGTTCACTATGGCCTCTGTAACATTTTCAACAGTGAACACATGCACCTCTATAGGAAGGGAAAAGCACACAGTGGTTGCTGATATGGATGGAACCTTGCTTAGGGGTCGAAGTTCATTTCCATATTTTGCTCTTGTGGCCTTTGAAGCTGGTGGGGTATTGAGGCTTTTGTTTTTTCTCTTGGCTTCACCTATTGCTGGCCTTCTATATTACTTTATATCTGAATCTGCTGGGATTCAAGTTTTGATCTTTGCATCAATGGCTGGCATGAAAATTTCCACCATTGAGTCAGTGGCGCGTGCTGTTCTTCCCAAGTTTTATTCGGATGATCTTCACCCTGAGAGCTGGCGCGTGTTCTCTTCCTGTGGGAAGAGGTGTGTGCTCACAGCAAATCCAAGGATCATGGTGGAACCTTTCTTGAAGGATTTCTTGGGTGCTGATATGGTTTTGGGAACTGAGATTGAAAGTTATAAGGGAAGAGCAACTGGGTTGATTTGCAAGCCTGGAGTACTTGTTGGAAGTAAAAAAGCAGATGCTTTGAAGAAAGCTTTTAGAGAGGAACAGCCAGAAATTGGACTTGGAGATAGACTCACTGATGCTCCCTTCATGGCTTTGTGCAAGGTAAACCAACCATCTTATTTTTTGGTTTTGTAGTTTCTTCTTTTTCCACATCAAATCATAACTGAATAAGTTATTTTAAAAATATCTTATAAAAACATATGGAATATGATCACTGTACACCAGGGTCAGTCTCACAGTAATCTTAACCGTTGATCTTACTCATATTCAACAAATATAATTTATTTATTTGAGCCATTAAATGGTGAGATAACTACTAAAATTAAGTATAACATTTTTCATTTTTACTCTAGTTTAAGTTGATGCTATCCCAAAATATATAATTTAGATCTTGATTATTGATTCAACACATATAGTGCTTTGGATTTAGGCTAAATTCATGGTAAATTTCATTACTTTAAAAATTTTAATTTCCAAAAAAAAAAATTGCCATAACTTTTATTAGTTCTCGCTTTTCTTCTAGCTAACTTAAAATGAGTTTATATATATATATATATATATATATATAGGAAAATATTATTCTTATGCAACATAAGATAATATCTCTTTCCTGCATACTCATTGATTTTCGTGTAGTTTAATTTTTGTTTTTTATAAGTGAGTGGGCCCCATGATTGTTTCTATGGTAAGAGAGACTACTCTTCTACAACATGAGATTAATAAAGCTCATATATATATATATATATATATATATATATATATATATATAGAAAAAAAAAAGTTTCTAAAGTTATTTTAACTATCTTTCTCTACTTTTTACCATTTTAAGTATGTTTTACCGATAAGACATAGTTAAAATGGTAAAGAAAAATTTCTCTCCATAACATCAGTCGACAATATTTAAGGAGAGAAGAAAAAAATAGTTTTATTATTATAACTATTTATTACCGGTAAGACATAGTTAAAACGTAAAAAGCAATATATAATAACACCAAAACCTAGCATGTCCTCAAAAATCTTTGTACATATTTAGTTTCTATAATTCTATAAATTTTTCAATTTAAAATAGAGTGTAGGGTTTCCAATTTTTCATATTCCAAGTACTACAAAGATGAAATTCAAAAAACAAGCACATACATAATCTATACATGCGAATTAAAGTCCAAAACTTTTAACGCGTGCAGGAGGGTTACATAGTACCAGCCAAACCAGAGGTAAAAGCAGTAAAAAGTGACAAGCTCCCAAAGCCCATCATTTTCCATGATGGAAGACTTGTGCAAAAACCAACACCACTCATTGCATTGCTCATCATTCTTTGGATCCCCATAGGGTTCCCTTTAGCATGTTTAAGAATAGCTGGAGGATCACTCTTACCCATGAAGATGGTCTACTATGTCTTTTGGGCACTTGGTGTCCGTGTCATTGTTAAGGGCACACCACCACCCCCAGTGAAAAAATCCAACACTGAACAATCTGGGGTTCTCTTCATTTGCTCCCACAGAACCCTACTTGATCCAATCTTCCTCTCCGCCGCGCTTGGCCGCTCGATACCGGCAGTGACCTACTCGGTCTCCCGCCTCTCCGAGATCATCTCCCCCATAAAAACCGTTAGGCTCAACCGCGACCGTGCCGCGGATGCATCCATGATCAAGAAGCTATTGCAAGAAGGTGACTTGGCCATATGCCCTGAAGGGACAACTTGTAGGGAACCTTTCCTTCTTAGGTTTTCTGCTTTGTTTGCTGAACTAACTGATGAGCTTGTTCCTGTGGCTATGGTGAACCGTATGAGCATGTTTCATGGAACCACGGCTAGAGGGTGGAAAGGGATGGACCCATTTTACTTCTTCATGAACCCTAGCCCTGCTTATGAGGTCACATTTTTGAACAAGTTGCCCAAAGAGTTAACTTGTAGTTCAGGAAAATCAAGCCATGAAGTTGCAAATTATATACAAAGGGTCATAGCTTCAACTTTGTCGTATGAGTGCACTAGCTTTACTAGAAGAGATAAGTACAGAGCACTTGCTGGTAATGATGGAACTGTGGTGGAGAAGCCTCAGCTTAAGGCCAACAAAGTAATGGGTTGCTGAATTTTGTGCTCTCTTTTAATTTTATTTCCTGAAAATTTTAAATTTTGAAAGATAAAAGTAGGTGATCAAAACTAAAAATGATAGGAATGGATTGTTTCATGTTAAAATTATATATACTTTTGTGTAAAAATTTTGTGTTTCTATCTATCTTATTATAAACATTAAAGAGATGGGTCTTATAAAAAATTTGATAAGAAATCCATCTATTGATTTAATGTTTATAAAAAGAGAGATAACACAAAAATTTTATATGATAAAGTCATATAATTTTAATATGAGAAAATTCATTCCCTTAGATATATAGATTAATGAAATAAATGTATTACTTAAAAGAATAGGATATTGTTGTATGAATATTTCAAATCAAGAGAAGAATTTCATGTGTTTCCTGTGTGAATGAGAAAAGTGTTGTAATCATATTATTGGAGTTTTGTTTAGTTGTTATGATTAGAGCGATTGAATGTAATCCCTTTAAGCAATTTAATCAGTAATTCATGATTCATGTTCAACAGTAATCAGTCAAGAACATGACATAGGATCTTTAGAATTCATGAGTTTCACATAAACATACCTTTGTCCATAATTGCGGAAAATCTTCAACAGTAGAATGCTTTCTCTAAGCCTTAACCCTTTCACCGTTCTTGTATCTTCTTTGATAGGGATATGATACAACTTTTCTAGGCAGACTCAGAAGGACGTTATCAGATACCCCTATATGAAAACTGACCATATAAACTATTATATAACTGGCCTATCACAGTTATTTCTAATTAACTTCCCTTAATGCGAAACGTCAGAACGTCAATTACCATTAATGCGAAACGTTACCATAATGCAAAACGTTACCATAATGCAAAACGTCAATTACCATTAATGCGAAACGTCAATTACCATAAAGCCTCTTTTATTATTAATTAAACCAATTGACACACATTACACATGAGACACAAATAGTTTTACATTCTCCCACTTGGCTCATGTCATAAGGTGTCCCTTCATGATTTAATTAACATTCACTATAATGCGCATTTTCTAGGCTAAAGGTTCCATCCACTGACGTCATCATAATTCATTATTAGAAATAAAATCAACATGAGTCATGGCGGTTGTATGCTATCAAGTCGACATAGTCCCTTCCATGTACTACTATATTGACTCTTCTTCCTAACATGATACTTTAGGAAGTGTACATTTATGTCCAACAATAATGTCTTCATAACGGACCATAAATATTTTCAATATCATCACATATACTTGCATGCATACATAAATTGAAAATAAGACAATAACAGAAACATATATTCATCAATGAGCTCAGAGTGTCAACACTTAATACATAACAATAATTATCATCATTCATTAGCTGACATAATGCCCATTCTACATACATGACCAGTAAATGTCTTGGGCGGTAATCCCTTCGTCAAGGGATCAGCTATCATAAGATCGGTGCTAATATGCTCTATAGACACTCTATGTTTCTGAACCTCTTCTTTAACGGCAAAGTACTTTAATTCTATATGTTTAGCACCTTTGGAATACTTGTCGTTTTTAGAAAAGAAGACTGCCGCAGAATTATTACAATAAATTTTCAGCGGCTTTTCAATATTGTCGACCAATCCAAGCCCTGAAATAAAATTTCGTAGCCATTTAGCCTGAATCGTGGCTTCAAAGCATGCCACAAATTCAGCTTCCATAGTGGATGCAGCTATTACAGTCTGCTTCGCACTTTTCCATGATATAGCTCCTTCAGCTAAAAGATACAGGTAACCATATGTAGACTTTCTTGTGTCTACGCATCCTGCAAAATCCAAATCTGTGTATCCAATCACTTCAAGGTTGTTAGACCTTCTATAAGTAAGCATGTGACCTTTAGTTCCTTCCATTTCTTTTTGTTCCAATTCACTTTTAGGACATTGCATGAGACTAAACTTATCTCCTTTCTGAATTGGAACTGGAGATGATGAGCAGTTTTCCATTCTGAATCTCTCTAGAACTCTATTAATGAATGTTTTCTGAGACAAACCTAACAGTCCTTGTGATCTATCACAGAATATTTCTATTCCTATCACATAAGCTGCCTCACCCATATCTTTCATTTCAAAATTACTAGAGAGAAACTTCTTAGTCTCATTTAAAAGACCAAGATCGTTAGATGCAAGCAAAATATCATCAACATACAGAATCAATAAGATAAACTTGCTCCCACTAATCTTCAGATATATACATCGATCAACGATGTTTTCTTTAAAACCAAAAGAGACAACAGTATCATTAAACTTAAGATACTATTGCCGTGAAGCTTGTTTAAGTCCGTATATTGACTTCTTAAGTTTGTACACCATGTGCTCTTTACCCTTTTCTATGAACCCCATTGGTTGGTCCATGTACACATCTTCATCTAAATTCCCATTTAGAAAGGCAGTCTTCACATCCATTTGGTGTAACTCTAGATCATAATGAGCCACCAATGCCATAATGATTCTTAAAGAATCCTTTTTTGAAATTGGTGAAAAAGTTTCTTTATAGTCAATGCCATCTTTCTGAGTGAATCCCTTTGCAACTAGTCTGGCCTCGTAACGTTCTAAGTTACCATGAGAGTCACGTTTGGTCTTAAAGAACCATTTACAACCAACTATCTTGCACCCTTCTGGTAACTCAACAAGATCCCATACCTTATTCTGTTCCATAGATTTCAACTCATCTTTCATAGCATCTAACCACTTATCACCATTTTCTCCATTCATGGCTTGTGAAAACGTTATTGGATCATCCTGAACACCCATGTCAAATTCAGATTCTTGTAGATATACCACATAATCATTAGAAATAGAAGGTCTCCTTTCTCTTTGAGATCTTCTTAATGTTATTTGTTGTGGTTCTTCTACTATAGGTTTATTCGGTTCATCAACAATGATTTCTTCATGAGTAGTGGGATCATTAACTCGTCCTTCATTATTATTGATTGGTTCAATAGCATGAGAAACAATAACTTTACTAGAGCTACAAGGTAATGGAACTTGTACTCTCACTTCATGAATATCCACTTTACGTGGTGTTTCACTCCCACTAACTTCACCATTCTCAATGAACCTTGCATTTCCAGATTCAATAATCCTTGTAGTATGATAAGGACAGTAAAATCTATACCCTTTCGATTTTTCTGGATAACCAATGAAATAACCACTTATTGTTCTTGCATCCAGTTTCTTTTCTTGCGGATTGTAGTATCTAATCTCTGCCTGACAACCCCAAACATGCAGGTGTCTTATACTAGGTTTCCTTCCAGTCCAAAGTTCAAAAGGAGTCTTTGGAACTGACTTACTAGGAACCCTATTCAATACGTACATGGCAGTTTTTAGAGCATAAGTCCACAATGAAACAGGTAAAGAAGAATTACTTAACATACTCCTAACCATATCCAGTAAGGTCCTATTACGCCTTTCTGATACACCATTCTGTTGCGGTGTACCGGACATTGTGTATTGAGCACAAATACCACGCTTTTCTAGAAATTTAGCAAATAGGCCCGAATGTTGTCCACTTTCATCATACCTTCCATAATATTCACCGCCCCTATCAGACCTGACAATCTTCACCTTTCTGTCTAATTGCCTTTCAACTTCATTAATATAAATCTCCAAAGCATTTGCAGCTTGAGACTTATCATGCAGCAAATAGACATAACCATAACGTGAATAATCATCAATGAAAGTGATAAAATATTTTTCTTTATTGAAGGCATTAACATCAAACGGACCACATACATTAGTGTGTATAATTTCAAGAAGCTGAGTGCTTCTTGTGGCTCCTTTCTTTGTGTGTTTTGTTTGTTTTCCTTTAATACAATCCACACAAACATTCAAATCAGTAAAATCTAAATCCGGAAGGATTTCATTCTTCACCAATCTTTGCATCCTTTCTTTGGAAATATGTCCCAAACGTTTGTGCCACAAGTAAGCGGAACACTCATTAATTAAGGTACGTTTAGTACCAACATTATGATGCAGAGTCATAAGTGTTTCAGCATAAAGATTATCAAGACATAATTTATATAATCCATCACATAAAGTACCATTATCAATTAAATGATTGTGCTTGTACAAACTGAAACTACCACTACCAAATTTAAAAGAGTATCCAGCAACATCAAGTTTGGAAATTGAAACTAAATTCCTAGATATACTAGGTACATAAAGAGTTTCACATAAATCCAAATGAAATCCACTGTCGAGAATTAAACGGTAAGTCCCAACAGCTTCCACCGGAACTTTCACTCTATTGCCCATAAAGACAAACTTTTCATTTGGCCTCGTGGATTTTAGAAGAAGATGCCTCATTCACTTTAAGGGGTCCTCCTCCTCATCCTTTCTTCTCATGCTTCTTACCTTTATACTTTTCAGCTTCTTGATGCTTTACATAATTGACAGAATGAGCTCCCTGATTCTTAATTCTGGTTTCTTCCTGAACTAACATACTGTGCAATTCATGCACATTCCATTTGTCTTTCATGGTATTATAGTTCATTTGGAAAGGACCATACTCAGACGGTAATGAGTTCAATACGAATTGCACCAGGAAGTTCTCATCCACAGCCATTTCCAATGCTTTCAATTTTGCCGCAATGCTTGTCATTTCAATAACATGCTCATGCATAGTACGCGAACCATCAAACTTCATGGTGGTCAGTGTACTCATAAGTGTCCCAGCAAGAGACTTATCAGCGGTTTGGGAGCGCTCTTCCACAAGTTTAATCATTTCGATGGCACTTTCAGTTTGTGGAAGAGCTGACTTAATGTTGCTTGCTATGCTCATTTTCATGTACATCAAACTTAATTTGTTGGATGTTTCCCAGTTCTTAAAATGGTTCCTTTCATCCTCAGTGCTTTCAGGAGTAATAGCACTAGGTTCCTCTTCTCTAAGAGCCATATCCATATCCATTACCCCAAGGTAAAATTGGATTTGCTCTTTCCATTCAGAGAAGTTCAGCCCATTAAAAA